CGTGAGGATTTTGAATTATAGTAAGAAGTAATATTTACAGATGAACAATAAAATATAAAATAGACAACTCATAAAAATCATCTTGCCGATGGAGCCAATTTATGGAGTGTTGGATTATAACTCAATGTTTCTGACAAAGCAATGGCCTCAATCAAGTGGCCCAGTCACCCCCCAGCTCAGAGTAGTAAGAACAGAGGGCTGGTGGCTTTGGTCTTACACAGGCTTCCCCCCAGCCCAGTCCTCAAATTTGTCACTTGGGTTTCTCTAATTCTCAGTGTCCTCCTTTGCAAAGTGAGACTATAAGAGTGGATTTTTAAAATAAAATTTTAAAGATTGTGGTAAAATACACATAACATAAAATTTACTGTCTTAACCATTTTTAAGTGTACAGTTGAGTGGCATTAAGTCCATTCACATTGTTGCACTACCATCACCACTGTCCATCCATAGAACTCTGTTCATCTTGTAAAACTAAAAATCTGCACAAGATTAAACCAGGAATGGGGAATGTCTGGCTTGTAAAATCATTTAGTCGAGCCCTGCCAAGTTATTAGGGGTGAGTTAATTAAATGTTTGACCAAATACAGCAGGCTAATGTTTAAGTTTATAATTTTGTATGGTCCACTAATCTATATATATAAAAAGCCAGCGACCAGAATGCCAGAATGACCAAAACAATTGGTCATTATGATGCTCACTGCAGCTGGCCAACGGGCCCAATCAGGGGCGGGGGGTGGCCAGCTAACTGCCTGCAGCCCCTCCCCCTGGCTGGCCCTCCCCCCAATCGTCCCTCCTACGATCAGGGGCGGGGCCAGCCTGCCAACCTTCAGCACCCCTTCTGCCCCCCCACCCACTAGCCCGACCCCAATCGGTCCCCATCAGGGTGGGCCAGCCAGACCCCACCTGTGCATGAATTTGTGCACCAGGCCTCTTGTGATGTTCTAAATATCCAAATGGCCCTTGGCAGAAAAAAGGCTCCCCACCCCTGCATTAAACAAACACTTCCCATTCCCTCTTCTTACAGCCCCTGGCAACCACCATGCTGTTTTCTGTCACTATTAATCTGACGACTCTATGTTCCTCATACAGGTAAAATCATAAAGTGTTTGTCCTTTTGTGACTAATTTATTTCACTTATTATAAGGTTCATTCGTGTTGTAGAATGTGCCAGAATTTCCTTCTGAAGTCCATTGTATGCATATATCACATTTTGTTTATCCATTCATTCACCTTTGAACAGTTGCATTGCTTCTACATCTTGGCTACTGTCAATAATGCTGCTATGAATACGGATATACAAATATTTGAATCCCTGTTTTCCATTTTTGGGGGGTATAAACCCAGAAGTGGAATAGCTAGATCATATAGTAATTCTATTTTTAAGTTTGTGAGGAACCATCATTCCATTTTACATTTCTAGGACTGGATATTTTTAACTGTCCCTTCCACATCTAAAATTTTAGGAACCAATACTTGTTTTAAAAAATCCTCTTGAAGCAATTTCCTCTTTACCTGGAAATCTGCATCCATTAAACAAACAGTGAGGGAAATGCTCAAATGTCTTTCACCCCAGAAGGCCTTTCCTGACCTCTCTTTATCTTTGTAACACTTGGGTTATGTCCACTTACAGCACCCTTATTTACTAGGGTCAAACCTTAATCACTTTTTAAATTAAGTTGTTGTTTTTTCAAGAACATGAGCTTTGGGAAGGCAGAGATCATGTCTAATTCTTTATCTCCTCAATGCCTGATACAGAATAATTAAGCAGCAACGGCCTATTGAGTGAATGTGTGGATAGACTGAAATAAAATAGGGCCAAATAATTCCACACGACAAATTGAGGAAGTGATAAAAGTGGTAAAATCGGAGAATAATTTTTCTCTGGGTGCAAAATATTTCCCAGGAGAGCCTGGGACCCAAATAATAGTAATGGTTGGCATGATAATTAAAATACTTAATACAGTGCTGCCCCAACCATCAGCTAGGGAGCATCTTCCTCAGTGGGCTCTGGGATACCTGCTTTAACATTCTTGCTCCTGCACGCTGGCATGCAGGAGGGTGCACTGGTTGTTTTCTTACCCATCAGCAAGGCAGTGCAGAAGGGGCATTCAATGCCCATCTGTGGCAGAGCCTGCAAGGGGCTTTCTCCATGTGTCCACATTAGGCAATACAGCAAACTCATGTTTGATGCTGGAAGGACCTTAGCGTCCAGTTCTCTTGGATGATGTAGCTGAGTTTCAGAGAAGGGAAGAGGCTGTTCCCCAGCCACGTGGGAAGAGGGCTGCATCCTAGATTTGGAGGCGCAGACACATGCTCTCCCCACACCGTTACGACCTATTTTTAAACCACCTTGCTGAGTGATGGAGGGCAGACGCTTAAGTGGACACAATGAAAAGACACAGCTCTAATTTAATGGGCCAAAATTAAAGTCGCGTCCATCAGACACTAAATAAAAGGCCATGGACGGTGGGCAAGCAGATGATATTTCTGGATTGCAACCCTCCTGGGCAAGAAGCCCTCTTGCCAGTCTGTGTTTGCACCTCTGCAAATACTCCCTTTGGGCAATTTTGCACCAAACCGGTATGAAGAATGTCCAGAGATCGCGGGGCATAGAAACTATTGTCCCTGTGTCGGCCTGGAAAGCAGCAAAAGGAGGGTAGGATGCTGGTTGCTGTCTGCTGGGGCGGACCAGAGCTCGCACCTGCTCCCTGGGCTTGGTGGGGTGGGCGGGGCAGGGGCGGCGCGCGGGCCTCCGCTGGGACCATCCCGCCGCCAGGGAGCAGCCGCGCTGCGCTCCAAAGGCCAAGGCCACTCCGGCGCGCGCAGGGTGCCAGGTGAGCTGCGATTGGGGAGCGGGACCCTGAACCCCAGGGCGCTGGTGCAGGGGACCTGCGCTGGTCTGGGCGTGGGGGCACGGGTGCCACGAGCCTGGAGGGCGGGGGAAAAAGGCCCCGGACACGTACCTGCGGCAGGACAGGGGACAGACAGAAAGTGTCCCCAACTTCTCTAGGAGGCAGCAAGAGCACTCCACATCCTCGAAGGGAGCTGGGGTGCATTGCGGGGAAAATAAAGGCCTCGGATGTTGAGAGATTTGCCTCAGACAAATCTGGAGAAGTTCTAGCCTGTCTTCCTATCTTGTGCCTTTTTCATGACCAAGCTTGGCCCTTTGGGGGGCCTTTGGGGACAAACTAGAGAGTTCATCTCTGACCCCAATCGATTGACTGACTGACTGGTTGATTCTGCACTGCATATATGTTCTTAGATCACACTGCGTTGTTCTGGGCTTTATGGTGAGCAAAGCCCAGAGACGCTGGCCCACAACCCCTGTCCTCTGACCCCTCCAATGACAAAGCAACAAAACCTTTCCCTCTGGAATGCCTTTCTTCTGTCTTGCCTTGTTTCATTGCTACAGATTAAGCGAACAGGTTTGTCTCCAAACCTCCAAATTGGATGTAAAATTGTGGTGTCTTTGTGTGCATTTTTGAGGAGAGCTTCCATAGAATTTATTTGATTCTCCCAAAGATGAAATAGCTAAATGCACAGCTTTGGGCCCATTAACATGGATGCCCTGATGGTCTCTGTCTTTGGAGGGCCTGAGTTGCAGATTCTTATTTGAAAGCTGGGATTCGGGGAGAAGTTGGAGGGAGAGATTCTCTCACGGTTCAGGGAGGACAATATTCACCCACCAGCACAGATTTGTCTGAGCTGAGAACTGGTCTGTTTTCCACTGGTAGGAGATAAAATGAGTTTGCAAATGTATCGGTGAGGAAACCAAGGCGAATCTTTGTGAATGGGAGGCCTATCCTGGTTTCTTCTTGGTAACCAAAAGTGAGCCCCGCGGTGGAATTTCCAGGAGCGCTGAGGGAAGGTGAGAGGTGCAACGGTCCAAGTTTATAGGCCCCTGGTCCACTGGAAACTTGGGAGAAGAAGGAGGGATTGGATGTTAACTCAGCCTTGGAGAGCACCAGGAAAACCTGGGGTGTATGTGGGGGGAAGGCCGGGGGATGCCCTGTGGCGGGGGGGTTGTTACTACAAAATTAACAGATATCCTTGAAAAATCACATTTCATCAGTAATCCCACTTTACTTGTTTCCCACCAAATGGGCAGGAATACTATAGACATAAGGAAGTAAAAGCTGCCATGTGAGTAGTGGCAGTATTTCGGGTCCTGCCCCCGTTATCCCAGAGTGAGGTTCATAGACAGGCTGGCACTAGGATAATGGCCCCCAAAACACTGACATCCTGCAGGTAGCTTCAAGCAATCCCAATCTCTTCCCAATTTTAAAGAAAAAATAGAGGGTAAAATTATAATTTTTTTTTCCTTTATAAAATTTCCCCAAATCTTCAGTGCCTGCTTTCATTTGTGTGACATCTTGTTTAGGTCAGAATTATATATCTGGTTACGTTGAGACATGAGAGATCATTATTTCCAGCTTAAAAAACGCCCATCAGTTCTAGGTGGCCTGAGATCCACTGTTGTCGCAAAGAGTAGGGAATGCATCGCATTATTCTTTAATGTCCTTTGAATGGAAATGCTTCCCTTGTGGACACCCGGTGCTCCGGTGGCAGCAGTGAATGGCACAGGACCTGGGGCTGTCGAGGAAAGAAACTGCCTCATTCTACTTGGCTCGCAGCCCAGAACAGTGTTTGTCTGCTGTTCTTAACTTCACACGTATTTTGTAAACTTAAACCACTCTTTGGCGAGCTTTATGGGAGAGGGCTTAAATTGCTTAGCCCCTCCTCCCTTACAATTGGTCAGTTCGCTTCATTAAATCCCAAGCTGAACTGCTGTTTTTCAAATAATAAAGTGGTTGTTTCTACTTACAACCTGTCTTTTCCTGATAGGATTATTGGTTAAAATGGCCCCATCACACCGCAGAGGTTTATTTGGCAATGGCAGAAATTAATTTTGCCCCTTACTTAAAGTCATTAAAGAACCACACTTTAAATAATAATAATAATAATAATAATAATAATAATAAGTGCTGCTTCACTAGCCCTTCAGCACAAGATACATTTTATTGATGTTGCTCATTGTTCTTTTATGCATTCAGCAAATATTTATTGAGCACCTTCTGTGTGTTGGGCCCCTTTTTCTGCTTTCAAGGAGTTGACAGATAAGCCCTGTGGACTTGAATCTTGATTTGCTAAGAGCTGACTTCGGGAGGGGCCGCTTCAGAAACGCCCCGACCATGGCCATATTAGTTGGATTTCCATTGCTGCCTCCTCTCCGTGCATGAGTCCATCCCCTCTGGTGTTGGCCAAGGGAGAAGCTATTCACTGTGGTTTCCTGCCTCACTGCACCCTTGCTGGTCAGCAGTGCCTGGCTCCTGTCATCTCCATGGCTGTGTAGGTGCTGGTTCTGTGAAGAGCATGACCAGTGAACGTCAATTAACTAGACAAGGAGAGAAGCATTCACTCTGGGTGGCTCATGCATGGTCCCAAGGAGCACTGGTTTCTCTTGGGAGGACCCTAACAACTGCCCAGTGGCCAGTTACACATCCCTGGGCTACTGTTTTTCTAATTCATTCAGAATAAAAGTAATAAATGTTTAAGTGCTTTTCAATCTGCACCCAACATGAGAGCTGGAAGAATATATTCAACACCAACCAACAGGGAAGGAGTCTACTAGTTTTGGGTTGGTTAAGCTGGGCCAGTCGGAAGGATATTTCTGTTGCTACACTGAGGAAAAGCTTGATGGTGCAGATTTTATTACCAGATAATAGTAGTAATGGTGGCGGGCACTGATATAGATGTGCCACGCACCTTCCAAAAACACTTTATGTAGATTAACTCATTTAGTCTTCTCTCAACCCAAAGTGGGTGCCATTATTATTGACATTTTAGCTTTGGATCAGACAATTTAGAAGTCTGATTTGTGTTGTATGAAAGGAGAGAAGGTTAGCACTCCCCTTGACAAGAAGTCTGATTTATTGAGCACTTCTTTCCCTCTTGCCTACTCATTGTGAGAGGCAGCCCAGCTCTGCAAACAGACTTGACCTGTTCTCTAACTGGATTCACTATTAACTAGCAGTATAACCTTGAGTAAGTCATTGCCTTTCTGTGCCTCACTTTTCACATCTGTAAAAGGGGGTGATGAGGGCACTATTCCATTAAGTTGCTGTCAGGATTGAATGAATGTACATATGTAAGATACTTAGAAGGGTGCTTTGTACACAGGAGGCACTATGATGTTTATTATTAGCTATTCTTTTTCTTTCGAGCTTCATCTGCCAATGCCCCCTGATATAGCAGCCATGCTGAGCTACCTAGAGTTCCCCTGGACCTCCTCAACTCTGTCATACGTCGCTGCCTTTGCATATGCTATTTCCTTGCCTAGAATGACTTTCCTGCTCTCTTGCTATGTCAGCTTACATGTTCCCTCACATGTAACTTACCTTTAATGCCCTCTGTTATTCTCCAGGTAGCTGTCCCCACTCTTCATTAAGATCTTAGCAGCCTCGCACCATTCATCTATCAAAGGACTTAGTGATTAACAATTACCTAACAATTATTGAGCACTTACGTGCCCAGTAGTGTCCCATGTATTTTTCTTGATTTTCTTTTTATATACTGACAGCTCTATGAGGTAGGGTTATATTTGCTTAAATTATTTCTGTGTTCATCCCTCCCGCCCCACCCCCCGAGTAGACTGTGATAGTCGCTTGTACATTTCTGTGTTGTTCATTTCGTATCTCTAGGACCTGGCAGAGTGCCTAATTAATACACAGTGGGCACTCCATAAATGTAAAGGGATGCATTTTTACCAACAGCTGTTTACATTCAAATAATAAGCTAACTGTAAGTAATTCTTTTATAGAATCTTCATGCTTTTCTCACTGCAGAAATTCACTCTCAAAATTTTAGAAAACACCGATAACAAAGAAGAAGGAAGTCCAAATCCCACTCCTCCCAGCCCTAGAGAGTCTAAACAACTTGCTCAGGGAAACACAGCTGGCTACTCACCACCCCAACTGAGACTCCAAGTCAGGCATCTGGTGATGGAGCCCACGCTCTTAAGGCTGTGATACTATTGCTCCTCTTCCTCTCCACCTCCAGCCCCCCACCCTCCACCCCCACACACAATGAACAAATTATGTTAGCTTATTAACGTGGATTGGAAGAGCTGAAATTTGAAATGAAATCTACCTTATAAACAACAGTGCAATGCATGAAATCTACATTTTAAAAAATGTTAGTATTCAGTCCTTTCGTGCCTTTGTACTTTCTGTTCTGTCAGTTTTTTAGAGGCAGCATAGTGAGGTAAGGTGGAAAGAGCATAGCTGCGGCCCTGCCCTTGGAAGTGTTAGCAGGGACTGGTTGCCTAACCTCCCTCCGTCTTATTTTCTTCCGTGAAAGGGCTATAATAAGAATCACTTCTCAGAGTTTTGTCAAGTAAGGCAGCAAAGTGCTTGATTCATGGTGGGTCTTGCCCAACAGAAATCTTGCCAAATTGTTTTCCCCATGTGGGTGTTTTCTTCCCCACTCCTTCATTTTAATTCTCGTGGTAACTTAACTTTTACATTATTATTAGATGTCTTTAGTAACTTGCCTCACAGCCATTTTCTTAGAAATTCAATTTCATCTCCTGATGAAAGAGAGAAAAAAGCAGCAATTTAAAAATGTTAGAGCAATTTTCATTTAAAAGTGGATCAATGTTTTCCTTACCCTGTCGTTAATGTTTTCTGTTTTCTTTTTATCAGCGAGTTACTTCTCAGTCGATTCATATTGCCAAACTGCCCTCTCTTGTTTTCTTACAAGATGAAAGGAGACAACCATGAATGAGCCACTAGACAATTTTACAAACACTTCTGATTTCCCCGATTATGCAGCTGCTTTTAGAAATTGCACTGATGAAAAAATCCCACTCAAGAAGCACTACCTCCCTGTTATTTACAGCATCATCTTCCTGGTGGGCTTTCCGGGGAACGCAGTGGCAATTTCCACTTACATTTGCAAAATGCGGCCCTGGAAAAGCAGCACCGTCATCATGCTGAACCTGGCCTGCACGGACCTGCTCTACCTCACCAGCCTCCCTTTCCTGATCCACTACTATGCCAGCGGCGAGAACTGGATCTTTGGGGATTTCATGTGCAAGTTCATCCGCTTCGGTTTCCATTTCAACCTGTACAGCAGCATCCTCTTCCTCACCTGCTTCAGCATCTTCCGTTACTTTGTGATCAGCCACCCGATGAGCTGCTTTTGCATTCACAAAACTCGGTGGGCCGTGGTGGCCTGTGCTGGGGTGTGGATCATTTCCCTGGTGGCTGTCATTCCCATGACTTTCCTGATCACATCAACCACCAGGACCAACAGCTCTGCCTGCCTTGACCTCACCAGTTCAGATGACCTCACTACCATCAAGTGGTATAATCTGATTTTGACTGCCACGACCTTCTGCCTTCCCCTGGTGATAGTGACACTCTGCTATGCAATGATTATCTACACCCTCAACCAAGGGCCGAGGACTCACAGCGGCCTGAAGCAGAAAGCTCGGAGGCTAACCATCCTGCTACTTCTTGTGTTTTATATATGTTTTTTACCCTTCCATATCTTGAGGGTCATTCGGATTGAATCTCGCCTGCTTTCCATCAGCTGCTCCGTTGAGAATCAGATCCATGAAGCTTACATCTTTTCTAGACCCTTAGCCGCCCTCAACACCTTTGGTAACCTGTTACTGTACGTGGTGGTCAGTGACAACTTTCAGCAGGCCATCGGCTCCATGGTGAGATGCAAAGCGAGTGGGGACTTGGAGCAAGCAAAAAAGATCAGCTACTCAAACAACCCTTGACAAACTTCACTTACTCAACCAAAGAGAAAAGCCTACTGGTACTTCCCCTGTACTTTCTAATTAGGCCAGAATATCTCCTTCAGTGGAACTCAGTAAACATTGTGCATTCATGTGTCAAGGCCAGGGCAGAACTGCTGGAGTCCTTTGCAACCATTTGTTGAGTTCCTTCCTTAGGTAGACCTAAGAGTGGGCTACATGCATATCAGTAAGGGGTTAACATGTACAATTGGAACTATTAAAACTCAGGGCCCTGTCAGAGAACACTTGCCCTCGGTCTCAGTAAGTTAGCACCTATAGGAGAAAGACAACTTTCACTCATGGTTTTATACTCCTTCATACTGGGGCCTATTTGTACTGAACCCCAAGTCTATTCAAGGCGCGATTTGTATCTTTTTCAATATTCTTTTTTTATATATATATTTCATATCTTTAAACCTCTTTCTCAAATTTTGCTTTGAGATTATTAAACTATATTTTTCACTAAGCTTTAGTCAATTTTGTAGATTAAAGCAAGTCAGTACCATCCACTTGAGATATTCAAAGATGTCAATGCAAATGACTAAAATGAATACCTGCAAGGTAATTGGGGTATGATAACTATTGTTATAGATAATTTTTCAAGTTGTTATTAGATTCATAAAAATTATCAAGTTAATATTGGTTATTACCAACATGTTCTGGGGAGGGAGGAGGAACTTTTGGGGAACAGAAGTACTTTTAAATATCATGTATATATTGTGTATTAAACAAAATCTAACATATTTGTTATTTCTCTGTGGGAAAATATTTCAGGAAATACTAATTCTCTTTACATACCTTTCTCTTTTGTGACTATCATGAAATTATGACTTCTACTACAATAGCTAAGCTATTTTTGAATTGTGTATATGCTGAATTATCACTAAGTATAAATATCTGAGAAAATGCCTAGTCTGAATATTTATACACCTAGCAAATGTGTTGGTATAATTAATAAACTAATTTTAAAATCATTAGATCGGCTGGTAATATTTTTTCTGTGAAAACACGGCTTTGCCACAATTATATTTAGCTGAAGGCTATGTTTACAAAACAAAAATAATTCCAAGAATCGGTTTTAGAATAAGGCTGGAGTAGATGATTTGAGCAGAAGAAAGGTTACCATAGGAACTCTTTGTGGTTTCCAGGTTCTTCTAGGACAATACATCTGATATAGACCTAATTAAGGACGCTCCTCAGGAACCTCTCTCTGCCGGGCATGCCCTGATGAGAAAGAGGAAAGTCAATAGTTCTTTACATGAACTTTCTGGATGATGGAATTCTCTCCACCCATCACCTTCCAAGTCATCTCTACTCCTGGACCTCACTAGTGCATATGGAATGAGCTATTTCACTAGAGGGCCAAGCATGCCTGTCCATGTGGCTGCATAGCATGGAGTAGCATTCAAGGGTCCATTTGGAACCTGGACACTAGGTAGTTCTCCTCTCCCCTCTCCCTACTACCCAGCCCAGCTCCTGGGGCAATACCAAAGTGTAATCAGATTAGCCTTTACACCACTGCTGCTGTTATTCTAGCCCAGAGTAAACCCCTTATGTATCTCCTCTCCTCTCCTCTCCTCTCCTCTCCTCTCCTCTCCTCTCCTCTCCTCTCCTCTCCTCTCCTCTCCTCTCCTCTCCTCTCCTCTCCTCTCCTCTCCTCTCTCTTCCTCTTCTTATTTCAAAGTCTTCACCCACCTGAGAAAAATCACTTCAATCTCCTTCATGTCTATTTCAACTTGTCTCTGTAGCTTCTTTTATCCTTTTCATTCTATCAATTTACAGAACAATAAATCATCCCTCTGATATTAATTCTTCCACTTGTCTTTGGTCCTTATTCTGCTTTCTTAAGGGCCTCCTCTCACAACCAATCTCGCTTTCTCCATTTTTTAACATTTCTATTACCCTGGATAATTGACCTTAGCTTGGGAAAGTGTATAATTTTCCTTTATCCTCAAAATACCTTCCTTGGATTCAGCTGTTCTGTCATTTTCTTATCTGGCTTGTTCCCTGCAGTTATGGGTCAGGTTCAGATGACTGTCTGCCTCCCAGGGTTCTGCTGAGAGAATATAATCACACAGATCCAAGCTAAATTGGATTCAAAGGGTAAGTTTTATTTTCCAAAGTAAAGAGTTCAGGGCTGTTCAGGGCTAATTGTGCTGGAGGATGCAGTTTGGAACTGAGGCCAAAAAAGAGATTGATGATACTTTCAAGGCCAGAATGGGACCCGAATGACCTTGCCTCACATGCCCAGTTGTAGGCAGAGAAAGTGTAGGAACAAAAGGCAGAGCTCTGACTGTCTGCCAGGGAGGGAGCTGCCTGCTTGGTCTGCTGTCTGCACAAGAACTGGAGGCTCAAGGCAAGCTCACTGCCTCTGAGTGCAGGGGACTCAGAAAAAAAACCTGTTATGAACTTTGGAGACACAGTAACTCCTTCATTTTGTTTTTTAATTTAATATCATAAAATTTTTAAGTATTCACAAAATTAAAGAAAGTGATAAAATGACCTCACATACCCATGCCTTAATTTCATCCATAATCAACACCCTACCATGCTTCTCCTGTTAACTCACCTTAGTGCCTGTGTGTCCTCCTGGACCAATGCAGGCCATTTCGGTTTCCTCTGAGAAGGCCCCCAGAGAGGGCAGTGCAAGATATTGATAACCACAAGTTGAACGTGGCTCATGTGGCTCAGTGGTTGAGTGTCAACTATGAACCAGGAGGTCACGGTTCAATTCCCCATCAGGGCACATGCCCAAGTTGTGGGCTCGACCCCCAGTATGGGACGTGCAGGAGGCAGCGGATTGATGATTTTCTCTTGTCATTGGTGTTTCTATCTCTCACTCTCTCTCCCTTTCTCTCTGAAATTAATAAAAATATATTTAAAAACAAATAAAACATATTTTAAAAAAACAAACAACAACTACAACATCATGGAGCACTTAAGACTAAACATTACTTCCTTTTCTAATTTTATTCTTAAATTCTACCCTGCAACACCATTCAATATAATCTTCCTGATACTATATAATGAACCCAAATGATATCAAATGATAAAAGGCCAGCAATGTAAAAATGCCTAAGGTCGAGAGCCCTTTCCATTATTGAGCTGCAGGAAGAAATTAAATTGTAATTTTTATTTTATTTTCCTTCAGCACTTTCATCTAAATATTTTCTATTGATCTGCCTTTCATTAATCCTGCCTTATATATATGCAATTTGCTATTAAACCCATTAGGAGAATTCCTAATGTCAGATATTATATTTTTTATCATTTATAGAATTTACATTGGATTCTCTTCACTAGTTCTACCATTTCAGTGAATTTCTTCCCCTTATAATTTTTCTGGGCCTGTGACTGCTTTTCTATTTTGGTTTGTTTTTCCCATCTTTTCTAGAATTGAATAATCATAGGTATTTTAAAGTCCTTATCTGTCCACTTCAATATCTGGATTACCTTCGAGTCTGCTTCTATTGTCTGCAATTTTCCTCATGTTTATGGGTCACGTAATCCTGTCTCCTTGCATGTCTACTTTTTTTTTTATTAAATGACAGAAATTGGATATGAAAGAATCAATAAGGCTACCCTGAGAGATTTTTGTTAGTTTATTGTTCTATTATAAAATTTCCATTTAATTTCACTTCTCTTATACAATTCTCTCTTATTCACTAAATAAATCGTATTTTTCTTTGACTCTTTAGATGTATTCATATTGCTGTTTTAACATATTTGTCTATTAAATCCAGCATCTTGTTTGTATTACTTCTCTCTGGATGCTATAATAGATTACTGCAAATTTAGTGGCTTACATTATACCACAACCTTTCTCTCTCTCAGAGGTCAGAAGTCTGAAATCCATTTCACTGGACTAACGCCAAGGAGCTGCAGTCCTCCCTTACTCCTGAAGGCTCTAGAGGAGAATTAATTTCCTTGCATTTTCTTGCTTCCATAAGCCACCTTCCATCGTCAAAGCCAGTTCCACATCATCTTCAAATCTCTCAGGCCTGTGCTTCTATCTAAATCCCTCCTCTCTCTAATTCTCCTGTCTTTTTATAATTGAAACTCTTGCAATTACATTGGGCCTACCCAGATAATCCAGGGTAATTTCCTCATCCCAAAATCCATAATTTAATCACATCTGCAAAGTCCCTTCTACTATGTAATGTAACATAGTCACAGGCTCTAAAGATTAGGAAGAGGGCATTTTTGGAAGGCTATTCTGCAACCGACCGCAGCGGTTTCTTAAATAACAACTGGCTAAAGTAACAATAATAAAATGTAGAGTGGCCTTGAGGTCAGTTTTTAATTGCTTTTCTTTTCTTGGCTATTGGACATGTTTTTTCGGTTTTGTGTGCGTAATGGTTTTTACTGATTACTGGATACTGTAAATAAATCATCATGGTGACTCTAGATTCTATTATTGTCCTCTGACGGTTGCTGCCTTTTTCTCTAGGAGACACATCAATTTCCTGCTTACCTTGAAATTGTGTTGATTTGGTTTTACAAATTTTTAAGAACAGATTTGTGAAAAGCCCAAGGTGTTTCCCAAGCCCTTCCAAGACAGCAGGACTCAATCTGGTTCTTCTGTGCTCTTATCCAGACTTGGTGTTAGGGTTTTTTGTTTGTTTGTTTTCTCAAAGCATATCTAAAATAGACTTCACTCTAGGCCATTGTCTTTATTCCCAAGGCAATTTTCTGCTGTCTCAGCAAGCTGAGTTAGCGGGATGTTAATGAGGTTTTTTCTCTCTGGATGGGCTGGAACACCAATGTCCCCCAGCACTGCTTGCCCACTAGTATCTCTGATGCCATAATAGCCTGTTTTTTATTAATCTCAAGTAGTCTCTTCCTGCAAACACAGCCCTTGGCCCAGGAATCTCAAGGAATCTCCATGCATTTCTGCCCATGATTCCTTCATCACTGATGCTTTGCTGCAAATATTTTAGATATGTCAACAATTTCAAACTCTGACCTATGCCTCCTCAACTAAATGGGACCACTATGCTCTGCTCAAACTCCAATTCTCTGTACCACGGTCAAGAATTGCCTAGCCAGAGAGCTGGGGTGATTGTGTTGCTTTGGCTATTGTCTGTCCTAAGCCTGAAAACATCAGCTTCATATATTTTGTCCAGTTTTATTGTTGTTAACAGTATGTGCCACTGTGATCTACCCCAGGTGAGGGAGCAGGTCCCATACTTCCTGCCTTTTCCATTAATGCTCTTTCCTATTCACCCTTCTAAAATGTGGGAGAGACCCCAATTAAAATGTATCTCCTCTCCTAAAATGACAATGGAAATATAGCTATAAAGACATTGAAATTTTTGGAAACATAAAAAGGATGGATGAATGGTGATACGAAATGGAAATAAAGCTAATATATATTCTGCTTAACTGCGAAATGCTCAGGAATTAGAATGACCAGCTACCTCTGAAAAAGGGTTATAGTGGGACTGACAATAAGAGATTTGATTTAAAGCCTGAATAAGAGACAGTTACATCCCTAGATATTCTATTTTGTCCTATGCAAACCAATGACTGCTCCTTTTCCACACCAAGAAAATGCTAAGCTTTTCATTCTGGGGAGGTTGAAGCAGAAAGATTCTTAACTTGAAGACAACAGACACAATTAAAGGTGGAGTGAAAAGTGAGGTCCTAGATACTAGACAGAAACATTTGGCTCTGATAACCCTTGCAGTTCATGCATATGTTCCCTAGCAGAATATTGGTGAATTATTCTCTAGGGCAGCTGTTTGCGACCCCTTTGGGGGTCGAACGACCCTTTCACAGGGGTCGCCTAAGACCATCAGAAAACACATATATAATTACATATTGTTTTTGTGATCAATCACTACGCTTTAATTATTATGTTCAACTTGTAGCAATGAAAATACATCCTGCATATCAGATAGTTACATTACGATTCATAACAGTAGCAAAATTACAGTTATGAAGTAGCAACGAAAATGATTTTATGGTTGGGGGTCACCACAACATGAGGCACTGTATTAAAGGGCTGCAGCATTAGGAAGGTTGAGAACCACTGCTTTAGGGAAATGGAAACTATAGCCATAACAGATACAACTAGTGCTGTACAAGATCCTGTTTTAACCGTTTTCTTCACAAATCCAGTCAATCTAACGTTAGAACCCTTGTGCAGAACCACTGCACTCTGCTGACTTGCACAAAGGGACAGAGTTTTCTAGATGCCAACAATTGGGGGACAGCTCAGCCTGCTCACCCACAGGGATGCCCACTAGTTGACCTGCCCTGTTGACTTAGCTTGGTAGTGTCTCACTCTTCAGAATGAGTGGACAGCCACCAATAACCAGGCAACTGTAGAGAGCCTGTATTAGGAATCAGAGGTTCCAAAGTGAAAAAATGGAGTGAGGGAGGGGCATTCAGGGAAACAGAAACAATGTACGGAGCATTTTAAACCAATAATTAAGACTCTCAGAGACATCCTTGAAAAAGACCAGGAAGTTCTAAAGGAATGAGCATTCAAAGAGAAAAGGAAAAAGAAAAGAGCTCTTGGAGGGCTTAAGCAGGGGCATATTGGAGGGCATGTTCCAACTGCCCTCCACGAACTGCCTACAAGTTGGCACGTGCTATGCACTGGGAGGGAGGAGTATTCTTGGCCTCTCCTTTTAGTCTACTCAAACGTATATCTAAAAGAAAGTCGTCCAGGCTGGTAGTATGATGCTAGAGTTATTCTTGATTTCAGTGTAGGAGAAACATTCTCGGATTTTTGTTGTGCATTTCAAAGGTGTTAGGAAAGTAGGGTTTCTTAAAGTGCATCTAAAGCGCCATGCTTTTTGGAGTTGCTCTATTTTTTATATTTACTTTGTCTCTATGATTACATATTATACGATATAGGAGTAGTTTTATATGATTGCATAATAGCATGTAATTAATTTTTCATGATTTTGGAAATATGCCCACAGCCTGAGCACATTGTTTTTCTTTCTAGAAATGCTTGATAACATTACATTCATGTTTCTAAAGGGTGTTTTTTGAATTAATCACAATACCTTCTGAAAATACTTGAGAAATAAAACATAGATGCATAAAACATTCTTCATTCAGTTTCAATCTTTGCTTGTTGTGCACAGGTATTTATAGTACAGAGGAATGTATGGCTACACATTTAGGACTACAATATCAATTTTAACTCCCATTTTGTTAAATAACACAGCATCTTTTGAACCCCTACTATGTGTAAAATACTGCTATACCCTGATAGAAAGCTTAGTAATAATCAGTTCTATTTTCAAAGATACTACAATATTGCATATCAGTTGCATTATCCATATGGGCCTTTTGGGTTGAGCATTTATGTTATGCTACAAGTACTTACCAAAACTCAATGAAATGTCTATTAAGTTCTTTTTGTCATTATAGTTTATCATTATTCTAAAGAGCTAAATCCAAAAGGATTGTTTCGGGAACATATATAATTATCTAATCCCTCTAATCAATAACCCTAAAATGCATTCTAAATGCTAAATGAACAGAAATATCCTAGAGTTTTAATTGTACATGGTTAAATGACCCATTTATCTGTTTAAATCCACTTAGGCGATGAACTATAGGGCAGTACTTGGTGTTACATACTTAGTATTATCCCATTTTCAAAGACAGCATTATAAATATCTGAATCTTACCCATGATAACCAATAAAAAGAAATCTATATATGCAGCATACCTGATGCTCTATGTATCAAATAACAAACTTGCTCCTTCTGGCAAAATATTTTCTGAGTCCACCTAAAAGTGTAAATAATTGGGGAGCAAACCAGTATTTGTATTCAAGAATTGAAACAAGGGCAATGTGAAAGCCCCTGTTCAAGTTTTAAGCACTTGTGAAAACACTACTAAGTTAGGCTTTTTCTGCATCTTTCTCCGACCTCCCAGCCCAGGATGGCCAGTCCTACAACTTCTCTTCCTTATTCATGACCGGCTTTAGGCACTTTATCATATAGGACGTGGATTACCACTCTTCCATGTCCATATGTTCCTTTTCTTCCCAGGGAGGTTATTAACTCCTCCATGCATGGTTACGTTTATTTGTGTTTCCAGTTCCTGGCAATATGCTAGGAGGCATGCCATATAGAACAAGCACAACAATGAGCCTCTTTTAGAATGAAATACCTGCTTTTTAATCCCAATTCTTACTCTACCGATTTCTGCATATGGAAAAATTCATGCTTAAATTGAGTCTTTGTATTGCCTTTGAAGACAGGGAAAAGACTTCTGTTTCTGGTAACATGCTAGATTAAATCTACTGCACAACCTTCCAATAAAAAACAACAACAATGAAATTGACTAAATCGAAGATGTTCACAAACATCTGAACATGCTCACTGAGCTGGTTAAAAACCAAAGACTCCACAAAGGGGAAAAATAAATATGAAGGTGGGAAACTAGAAGTCAGTGGGCAGCAAAAGCAGATTTTCCAAATTGTATCTGCAAAATCCTGATGATTTTGAGCCTAAGTTTTGATATCCATGTGGGGATGAGTAGGGCTATATCCTGGTTGACCCAGGACAGTACTAGTTAATGCCTGTTGCCCTGGTATAGTTCTTAACAACATCCAGTTTTTTTCTTAAAAGCCCCTGGAATGATATGTGGTCATCCTAAGTGTAAGAGAGAGAGGACATAATGCATGGAACTCAAAAGGTAGGGATTCTAAGAGGAGGTCCTTGCAAAACTCTGCCTGTCAGTGGGTTCTGCTCTCCATGCTAGGGTGAATGATAAATACGACTATGAAGCAGAAGGGAACAGAATATAAAATAGTCTGCATTTACTTTGACATTAGGTAGAAGGAAAATGAATTTGCCCCTGAGAAATCAGAGACAGCATCAAGCTCTCATGTAAATTTGTTGTTACCTGCATGTTAAAATTGAAATTCAAGTGGAGAATTGAATTTTAAGTGATCTCCAGATGGGTAGTACCACCAGGCAACTGGCAGAAGCATACGGGAGACCTCTCTGAGGGAACACAACTTTAACCTAGGTCTCCAGGAATTCCTACTGGTAAAGTTTCCAAGGAAAATAATGAGAAACACATTTAAAAGGAGTTTGCAAGAAATGCCAACAAAAAAAGGCACAAAAGATGAAATACGTCAGGATTAGAGGATGGAAGAATAAGACTGTCAAAGATTTCACCTGTGAAAATATCAGACACTATTGTGAAACAGAATGTTTATTTTGTTAAAAAAAAAACACCTGAATCCTCAGAAGAAGGATGATAGAAATGAGACTATAAAATGATTAAGCAATTTAAAGAAAATGAACAGGCTTCTAGAAATAACAAATATAATAAATTGAAATAAAAATTGTTAATGGTTTGCTAAAACAGGAGATTAGACTCAGTAAGAAGAGAATTAATGAACTGGAAGTGAGATGAGAAAAAAACTATTGTTCCAATTATCTATGGGAACGTATGCACAGGTGACCCAGAGCGCCTCATTTGGATATACCAATACAGACGTCAAAGGGTACTTAACTATTAATTAATATGGCCGAGCTTAACCAAAAACTGAGAGAAGACACAGGAGATAAACAATGCAAGAAATCACACAGGTTTATTTACCAGAGAGCTGATGGGTTTCAGTCCTTGGCAGGCCACCCGGAGACACTTGCTGACAGAGACACACGGAGATCGTCAAAATACGCCGCGGCAAGGAGCTCAGTCTCTTGACTCGAAGAGAGGCCTCTTACCAGTCTGGGCTCAGAAGCAGAGCAGGAAGGGCAGTTTCCAGGGGGTAGGAGAACGTCCTGTCTGTGGAGGGCAGACATGCGTCTGACTGCTGCTGTGAGAGTCCTTCTTTTATGCCCCATGGGTGGGCTTCTTCAGTGTCTCATATCAGTGTGCTCCGGTGGCCTTCTGGGCTTATCAGGATACACACGCAGGGGGTTACAAGGTACTTATCAGGAGTGCGGAGTGCGCACGCAGGGAGCTACAAAGTACTTATCAGGGTCACACACACACGTTAAGTTTCACTTCTAAGTAAAGTTTAAAATTCACTCTAATAAAAAAATGAAATTTGATTATGCTATCTTATACTAACTAAACTTATTACTATAACAACTATCTAGAAAGCAACACACAGAGGAACAAGAAAATAAAAAATATGAAAGAGTTAGACCTAGAGTAGAGGGTGAGAAGGTCCAACATATATATGACAGAACTTTCAGAAGGAGATAAAAAAGAGAATGAGGGGGGAAAAACAAAAACAGTTGGATTATTAGGTTAAAAGTGTTTATTGTATTAATAAGGAAACAAACACATGGATTATACAAAAGAAAGCTTTGCAGAGAAAAGTAATGAAAATCTGTCATAAACGAAGGTTTACGATTAATCCAATTCTGTTTACCTGGCAGTTATAAAAGTTAAATACATAAATATTAGTTAATCAAAATGAAGTCATAAAAGAAGGGGAAAAAGAAACAGAGAGTAGAAGAAACAGATGTCATAAAATAAGATGAAAGAACAAACACAAATATGTCAGTATCACAATAAATGTGAAAAGACTAAATACTTCAGTTTCAAAAAAGTTTTCAGACTACACTTAACAGTACTATAATCTATGCTCTCTTTAGAAAGAAAGAGGTAAAGATAAAACTTACTTATAAGAAAAAATTAAAAATGGAACATACCTATAACAATGAAAGAAATAGAATCAGAAATTGTCTCAACACAATAGAAGTTTACTTCTCATTTAAAAAAAAAATCAGCAAAAGTGTGTTAGAAGGTAGCTTTTGTCCAAACAGTGATTCAGAGACCCAAATGTCTTTTAATTCATGACTCCTCCACGGTCTCAGGCCTCAGTCTTCTTTTTAACTACCCTCTTCTTAACCACTTTTCACACATTCCATTAGTAATCCCTGGTCACTGTTCCCTCCGAGTGCTCTGGATGGAGGAGATCTTCATTAGCTGGTTACTTAGGAACTAAATATGTATTGGGGTTTCCAATGCGGTACATAAAGGAGGAGCAGATTAAAGATAACTTCAATATAAAAGCTCCTTCAGTAAAAAAAGAAAAAGGAAAGGAGACAAGAGTCAGGACTTGTGAAATCCTGTCAATGGGCTTGGTGAAGACCCATTTCCTGTCTGTGGGGGAAGTTCCTTGATTAGACTCAAGTCTGTTCTCCAGAAGAAACTTTTTTTCACTCTTCCCTTCTGCCCAGGGGACACTCCCTGATGCTTCCTCCTGAGGCAGTGGTTTCAGGCTTTAGCAAGAATCAGAATCCTCTGGAGGCTTGTTACAACAGATTGCTGTGGACACCATCCCTAGAATTTCTGATTCAGTGAGTCTGGGAATTTTTGCAGTGCTAGCAAGTTCCTGGGTGATGGTGAGGCTGCTGGTTTGGGGACCACACTAAGGGAGAGCTATGGTCCCGACGCCCCATCTGAAATGGGCTGAAGGAATGTCTCCTCCTCGAGGGAGCCCTATTTTCACTGCCAAATTCTTGCTGGGGCAAGTTTGGAGGCATGGGGGCAGTTCTACAGTCACAGACTTCTTAAAGCCAGCTGCAGTGTGTTTAGCAAGACAATCCCGGCAGTTACTTAGTAGGCTCCTCAGCTATTTGCTTCCATTACATTCCAGGTATGATAACCACATTAGCTCTTCCCCGGGCATAGCTCTCACTCTGACTCATATCTCTGCTTTCTGCTCCTCACCGCCCACAGTTGTTTCTTCCAGGGTACCTTGTACACTGGCAGGCACCGGGAGGTCATCTCATAAAATAACCTTGAACTGGAAAGAAATAACTTTCGTCTGATCTTTGCCACAGGGTCCAATCCCTTCATGAAACTGAAAATTCCTAATGAACCTTTGTTGTACAAAGTCCTTTTCAGCCTAATTTTTAAATCCTGGCTTAAAGTATAGAAACAGCTCTGCCTATCCTTGAAACTCTACATTTCTGGCCTCTTTCCATTCCTTTCTAGCTCTTCTCTCAAGCCAACCATTTGTACTCATCCTTTTGTTTTTACACTTTGCTATAAGCAATGAGGACAGACCAATCAGTATACATGAACATTTCTAGCTCCTTCCAACTACTTCCACACAGCTGCACATCTACTAGGGCACTTGATTTGCTTTTACAAAAACAGCTGGTAAAACTTTATGCTATGATATAGTAAAGCTCTCTGTATTTCCATCTTGTTTTATATTTTCCTTCATTGCCTGCCCCTCATCCACTGTGTCATTGCCGTATTTTAGAATTTGTTAAGGCAGCTTTTGCCGGAAGCCAATTCTAGCATGTCATAATTGCAAGAGTTTCATCAAAAGGTTGATGGAACTTGGGGACTCAACAGGGTTGAGTCACACATGTAGTCACCTGTTGGGAATGGCTGAGGGCATTTCCCCAAACCTGAATAGGATACATTAAATTGATTGTTGGCTGCCAGACAGCTCAGGGCATCTTAATCTACATGTTATTGCCTCCTACTGGCCATACACCAGAACAGCGTAGGTTAATTCTCCCATTCTGACAATGGACTCTGTATGCGAAACCTGACCCTTTGAAGTGTATATCTCCACCTTGCCTCAGGACAAATTGCGTTAATAAAAAGCATGAGGTCCTGAGATGAGGAGACCTTACAACTTAGATCTTAGTTTCTTTTAAACTAGGCTCCTCTGACCCCCAAATGCCTTTTAAAATTATGCTTCGTCTCTGGACTCCTATTTAATCCACACACAGCCTCCTCCAGATTTCCTGAACCCTTCTTAATGCTGAACAAGAACCCCGGCAAGCTTCCTACTTCAAAGTACCAGTTTCCATATTGGTTAGTGTAATATTAGCTGATGAAACAAAATAGTCCCCAAATTTAGTGACTAACAAATAGAAGTCCTTTTGTTGCTCAAGTGGCTGCCCAACATAGGTGTTCCTGGTTGCAGGCTGTTTCCATATATGCAGGGATTCAAGCATCTGCTTTCTTTTCATCTATAGCTTCACTAAATCCTAGCATCCCAGAGTCCTTGCATGTTTGTGGATGAGGAAAGAGAAGGCACACATTTCTTATATAAGTGCTATGTCACTTCTACACATATTCCATTGTCAAGACCTAGCCACATGACCCGATCTGGATGCTAAGAAGGATTAACTTATTGCTGACTGAGCAGCTACTTCTCTGAAATCATTGTTTTCTGGAAAGGGGGAGGGGCATGAGAATTTGGTGGATCATTAGCTTTCTTGATCCCAAAATAAAAGGTGCTACAGTAACACTTCAGAGGCTATAGGGGCCTATCTTTAAAAATCAGGGGGGAAAATGAGTTTCAAAGAAGCCACAAAAAATATAAACCATAAATAAACTATTTATGATTTCAACTACATAAAAATATCAAGAGCTTCTAGTGAGCAAAATATACCACAAACAGAGCAAAGACACTAACATCAGACTGTCTTTGATGGCTATCTGTTGAAGATTCTTGCTATGTAAACAACTGACCCTACACATCCAGAATACACAAAGAACTCTTACAAGTGAATAAAAACGACGGTTAAGTAGCAACCACAAGTAAAAATACATACATAGATAGGTATCTCCCAGTAGCAGCATGAATGGCCCACAGGAACATGGAAAACTGCCTAAACTGGTTAGAATTCAGAGACATGAAAATTGAACTATGGTGAGCTGCCATTTCCCACCTATTGGTTGGTAAATGTTTAAAAGTTGGATGATGTATCAGTCAGGAGCTGAAACAAAGTGAGTTCTCTTACAGTCTTGTTAGGAAAGGATGCACACACTAATTTGTAAAACAATTTGGCGTTATCTCACAAAGGGAGTGGTAGTGTTTCATTATTTAATAGTTAGCTATATAGATACGTGTGTGTGTGTGATCTAGCTAACAATATGAACACTGCAAACAATAATCTTTTGAAAATATAATGTAAGAATTATGGAAAAGATGGTCTCAGTGGTCACAGCTTCGCTGCATTGGACATGTTCTGTAACATATTATACTGCTTCTTCATCCTGTCTAGCTATTTAGAACTGCTTCTGTCTTCCATCACCATATAAGCCAAGGATAAACATTACATCGTAGGTGAACATGAAATGCTAATCTGAACAAATCCTCCTCATCAATTTAATCCTTTGAGAATTGGTGAGTAAGGGAGCGAGAGTGCAGAACAATGGAATGTTTCCCATCCCCAAACGCAGTCCTCTGGAGGCAACCCATGCAGGAAGCACACCTTCTGTTTAGGGCAGAGGGGTTAATTAAGAAAAGTTGGTGTCATTTCCAATAATTACTAGGGATCAAAACTTACAAAAGGCATGATGAGGGCCTGGCAGCTGCACCAAATAAATCTGCCTGCGACCACACAGCCGTAGCTGTTACATCTCAGAACATCTTTTGCAAATCACCTTGGCTTTCATACAGCCCCAGCATGAGAAGAGGCTGATCCTACCAAGTTCACTGGACTTGAAAGCAGGAAGAAGGGCCCATATGGCTCTACTCAGTGGCCTTAAAAACTGCCACGAGCCATCTTCCATTTCTCAGAGGAGTGAATTTAAGCTTCTCTCCCAGAGCCAGAATTTAAGGACAGAAAGAGGCTCTTCTCCGTTAACTTTCAAACCGAAGCAACCAATTATCATAAACTATAAAATGTAGCCTTAGTGGGGTAGGATTTCCAACAATCCTGTGTTGGGAGCACGGGGAAGGGCGTTGGAAAAATAAAGGAGAAGTCTAGCCTGTCTTTGTGGATGGGAGCCGAAGCCGTCCCCGAAGCCCCCTCTCAGGGAAGGCACTCCACAAACACTTCACGCAGCGCAGTAAACACGCAGCAACCTCGCCTTTTATCTCCCGCAGGCGGAATTCTGCTCCCTAATTGTCCATTAGCTCGCTTCAAATGGCAGAAACAAAATAACCACTAGAGGGC